TTAAAAGGAGCGCGGCTCCGATACCGCTGTGAGTTTCGTAGTGACCCTTACTACGCGGAAGGAAACCCACCAAGACCCGCCCCGATAACTAAAGCAATTAAAGCATGCAAAACATAATTAATACATAATTAAAAGAAGAAGGGATAAAGAATTATACCCTAGACGCGTGCTTTGCTCGCTAAAAGAGCTCTTACTTCAACCTCGCAAATGCAAGGCCTCCGACGGTTCGTACCCTTGATCCCGACCCGATCGTCCTAAGTCCCGAAGGTTAGTCGGGACCCGAACAAAATATAAACTTTGGAGTTTTACAAACTTAAGGTATTCTCAACAATGGAGATGCCTATATAGTTCCACTCAAGTGTGTTCTTTCCCAAATGCCAAAGCCTTGGTATTTATAGGGAAATGAACCCTTGAATTTCAATCTCCCACCAATGTGGAAGAATTGGTAAATGTGATCATTTATTTAATTCTAAATTAATTAATTAATCAAAGCAATCACCATGCAACAAGTGGCAAAAGGGTAGAGAGGTTTGAGTGAGGACCATGTCCCTTGGGGGGGGGGGACCATTGCCTTGCTCCCCAAGGCATGGCTCTAAGCCTTGGTCCCCACCTTTCACAAACCGGCATCACCAAGGCAGATGGGCTAGCAGCCAGCTAGCACGCCAACACGCACCAGTTTGCATAGCCCCCAGCCAGCACATGCGTGCTGCTAGCAAGCCACGCATGCTGCTGTGCTGGGCGAGGCCCCTCGCTGTTGCTGCTGCTGCTTGCTGCCTGGCGCTACTTGCTAGCTCGCTGTGCTTGGTGCTGCCATGCGAAGGCATGCACGCAAGCACACAGCTATGCGAAGGCACGGTGCTGCATTGCGAGGCTACTGCGATGGTGCGATAGCCCTAGGCATACACTCACGCACACACACGCAAGTGCCTAGCACTGCGATGGTGCTGTGCTTGCGCGATGGCAAACATGCCAGTGCCTAGCACTGCAATGGTGTTGTGCTGTGTGGAGGGCTGCGATGGGCGATGGGCGATGCTAGGGCGCTAGTGCTAGCTAAGTTGGGCCTTGTGATAGCACCAGGCACGCAGCACTTGCGAGTGTGTCTAGAACGCATGATGTGCCTAGCACCCATGCCTTGTCTAGCACACATGGTGCGCCTAGCATTTATGCCTAGCCATGTATTGTGCATGCTAGCTCGAGCTAGCCTAGCGTCCACATGGTCAGGCCATAGTGGTGCTACAGCTACGCTTAAACTTGTTGCTTGTGATTTTGCGACGCTCGGTCTCGACGCCCTAGGCTCGATATCCGACGTCTGTGTTCGTAAAACTCCGATGACTCATTGAATACTTCGGATTAATTCGTCGTCTCGGATCGGTTGTTCGATTGGGTTCGACCCGAAGGGTTCAGTTAAGATTAAGCTGTAATATTATTTATACCTTAATATTACTAATCGGAAGCGACCTCCACCTAGGCATTTCGATCACTTAACCTTACTGAAGAATTAGCTCTGTAATAATTATGAACCATCTATCAAAATAATACACTTGTTGGAAGGACACCATTCCTTTCACTTTAGGCCTTCACACTTTATTTCCTAACATTCTTACACTTCCCTTCCTCATGACCGAACTGCTTACACACATTGCATTTAATGGGTTTCCACTCAAACTCCACTTTCTGCTGGCACAAGCTTCCCTTATTAGATAGAAACTTAATCATGTTAGTTAATTCACCATCAATATCTACTTCAATCAAGAAATGAACAAAATTAACCCTCTCTTTCAATCAAGTAGCATTATTGGGTTTAACAAGCTTGCCAATTAAAACCAACAATCTTCTCCAAACAATTCTTACCCTAATATTTCAAATGCATACCAGGCAATAGAACCCAGACAGGAACCTTAGTGAATTCCTCACAATTCACCTCCATCCCATCCTCCCATTGCTTCATGAAAATAGGGCGATTATCAAACAACATATAAGACGCACTTAATGCTTTTTACTTTGATTCCACATTCAAAAACCTAATAAGGAACACCCCTTTCTTAAAAGGAATGACCTATCAATGTTCTTAGCCCCCCACATTCTATTGCAAAAACCCGAAAATGAGTTCACCTAAGGATTACCCCCAATCACAAAAGTAACAATACCCATATTCCAATATGCAATTTCACCAAAAACATCATCAAAAGACAATTGCAGCATAGAATTGCTAGAAATTTAACTTTCAGAAGAAATTTAGCTTATTGTATATGCCATGTAACTAAAATTGGTCAAATCAAGTAAACTTTTCCCCAATAAAAGAAGTATAAATAGATTCAACCTCGAGAAAGAAATGAATCAAAACTCGTACTCCTTTCGTCCCTTTATTTTTGCCCCATTGCCATTTTTTGGGTCAAACTTTGCAAACTTTGACCATAAATTACCGTTAATATATAAAAGATAATATAGTCATGGGCGGTCTTGTTAGATTCGTGTTATTGTACATTTTATTAATATCACGTTTTTATAATTTTTACGTGTATGGAAATAAAAATATATACGTTTTATGACGCATTTTGGAAACCATGCACAGTAAAATGGGGCAAAAAAATAGGGACAGAGGGAGTAATCCACAGTGGCTAGCTGCATATACATGTAGTTAAAGGTTGCCACGTCATTATTTCTCAAGGTACATGATTAAAGCTACAACCTTTACAATGGCAAGCTACTTTTTTTGTAATTTTATTACGTCCCACAGGATGACATAAAATAAATGTATTAACAAATACATAAGATATATTAAACAAATAATATAATAGCATTGAGTGAAGTGAAACTACATAACTATATAAAGCTATGTAATTTGGCTTAGTTACAAGAGGTTGTAGCTCCACAATGGCTAGCATGTAGCTCCACAATGCACAACCATCGTGGATGCTTTAATATTCATGCTTTTTCAATATTTTCATCCTTGATCCTAGATTTGACCATCCCAAGATTTGACCAATCTATCCCCCCTTTCTCACTCTCCCCCCAAAAAATCAATAAAAAAACACAAGTAAAGAACAACACCAACTCTTTGCAATCTTTGGTGAAACACATCAATTACTATGCAGCAGTTAGCAGCCTCTTCCTTTCTTCAACCCCTTTTTTCTTCCTGCTAATGTCTTCCCAATTGCTAATTTAGGGTTTCTTATCTTTCTCTCTCCTTTTTCCGCCATTCTCAGGATTCGAGCTTTATTGTCTCTATTCTCCTACAAATCCCTAATTTTGCTCCTCTATCGTTTTCCCCAATTCATATTCGAGCTTAGATTTTCGCAGTATTACCGCTTCAGTCCTCAATTTTCGGCTATATTACATAGGGTTTGGGTATTGAAATTCACTTGAAATGTTCAAGGTTGAACTCTAAGAAGTTGTTAAATTAATAATTTTTTTTTTTTTTTTTTTTTTGCATGAAATTGGAGTATTTTTGAGTGATGCTTGTTCAAATGGCATTGAAATTACCGGCTGCGAAAGCAGCTGAAGTGGCGATTGGATCGATTGGCCGTGGATACGATATTTCGGCCGATCTTCGGCTTAAATTTTGTAAAGGAGATACTTTGGATTCACATTTGATTGTAATTGATGAAGATCATAGTCAAGAAATTGCTTTGCCCGGTGGAATTAGTGTACCTAATGTACCTAATTCTATAAAATGTGATAAAGGTGAACGGACGAGGTTTAGGTCTGATGTTCTGTCTTTTCAACAGGTACTGCTGCTAATTTTATTGTTTTTCTTTGATTTGCCCGCCTCAGAGTGATTGAGCTTGTTTTGTTGCTTGCTTGCTTGCCATTATTTGGTTGTGTAAGAAGTAGTGACACTTTCTCAGTAGGTATATTCCTATAGAACACGGTAAGTGAAAACGTCAACCAATTATAATTTAATTTTTACTGGAATTTAATTCATATGTAAACCTTATTAATTTTACAGTATTATTTATGTTTTCTAGTGTTTGGATTCTTAGGATTGGTTTGAAATTTATTATTTGTGCAGTTGTGTTCCCTTGTCGCGAAGTTTAAATATGGGTAATGATGGAGGAATCTGGTGAGATTATGAAAGTTAGTGAACAAGAACTAGTAACTTTGTCAAGCTTTTTCCTTTTCCTTAAATTGGATATGGAGATTTCAATCTCAGCTTTATTTCCTTTATTTCGACTGCTGTCTGGTTAGTAGGGGTGAAAGTTCGGTTTTCGGTTTGGATTATGCCCCAAATCGAAACCAAACCGAAATAATTCGGTTTTAGTGTTTTCAATCCAAATCCAAACCGAATTGAAATTCAGTCCAATCCAAACCGAACTGAATTTCTAATACTGAAACCGAATCCAATCCATAAACCAAATTTTTTTACATTTTTTGAGGAAACCGAAGTTTTTTTACTTAATTTCTTTATGTTTGTGATATTTCTTAGCAAAATTTATAATTTTAAGGACAAAATAACAAGATCTAATAGATAAACCGTCTAAAATATTTAACAAATTCAACTTTTACAGGCTCAAATTTGCCAACCAATATTCTCAAAAATAATCGAGATACATCATACATAAAAAAAAAAAAAATTAAAAGAAAATAAAACTTCAGATCTTGTACTCTTATGCTTCCTCGCATACAAGTATAACCTTAATGAAATTAAGTCTTCGTATTCATCTTCAACATCACCCAACAAATTGAAAAAAAATTGATATATATTTAAATTATAGGAATACCCATTGAATGAAAAGAAGAGAGAGAAGATTGTATTTTATGAATAAAAGGAGAATAGGAGGGACGGCATGAGAGAGAAAGGAGGGACAAGATGAGAGAGTGATGATAGAGAAAGGCTGAATGGGGCGGATGAAGGACAAAAGGATTTTAGGGTTTCTAATTGTTATATATATATATATATATATATATATATATATATATATGTATGGGAAGCTATGGGCTTTAAATTGGGCCTTGTTTACACACTTTACAGATTGAGCATGCATATATGCTAGTAGTATATTTCGGTTTGGTTCGGTTTTTCGGGTTTTAAGAAGCCCAAAACCGAATCCAAACCGAAAAACCGAATTGGCAATTTTTCCAAACCGAATTAAAAAAAATCCAATCCGAATTGTTAATTCAGTTTGGTTGGTTCGGTTTGCGGTTTTTATCCGTATTACTTTCACCCATACTGGTTAGTAAAGGAGTTTAAGAACGAACACATGCTTTAGTTTTGCACCAAATCAGAAATCTGTAGTACGATGAACTTATGATTATATTCATGACAGTTGTGCTTACGACATGTGATTACCAATTTCTACTAAAGAACATAATCATCAGACCCACTACACTAGAGTAGGTGTTTTTATATAAATATCCCAATTACAGGAACATACTCTTGAAAATAAGAAGGGCCAGTTTTTATTATGCATGAATCTAATGAACAGACTAATGAGGATTATACTTTCCATGTATGGTAGTTTAAGAGAGTGTGTTTGTTTATAAAATTGCTCTTACCACATGCTTTACCAGGAAGTTTGTCCTACAATACTTGGCTGTCAATGTAGTATGGCCAATTAATATTTTATATACTTTTGGTCTTTTGGATGAGACGTAGTATGGCCAAATATTACCCATTAAGTATAGCCAAGGAAAATGAGCAGTTAGCAGCCTAGCAGAACATATTAAATATAGAAAATTGAGATCAAAGAGTTAACTAAATATTAGATCAACTGCTAAGATTATGAAGTCACTTGATGTTGAAAGAATCCAGGGATAAGCTTTTTCGCAAAAAAAATCCCCTCATTTAAAGAAATAAAGATGAGAGTTGAATATTAGCTGCCGGCTTCGTTTACTCCAGCAGAAGAACATTTCATATATTTACATTTTTTGCTCATTTAAAAATTTCTGCATTGTTTTTTTCTATTATATGGTAACCACATGATGATCCACATGAAGGTGGCTGCCGTATTGCTTAAGCTATAGCAAATGCGTCTATTATCTGTCAGTTGGCCACTTTTTAAAAGGACTATGTTCAGTGTACCTTGATAAAGCTTCCTTGCAGCTAGTCGAGTTGCCTTACATGATGGGGTTCATGTTGTCAATTTCTAAGTATAAGTTGATGGATGTGAAACGATTTCCCTGATTGGTGATGGATTTGAAATCCCCACTTTTTTGTTGGCTGAAATTGATGTCCATGTAAGATCTTTTATATTTTGCAGGCATTAAGTTGATGACACTTAAATTTTTTTAATCCTGTAGAAATATGCGTCTAATCATCTGAGCATTTTCCTAATTCATTCAACTTATATCTCCTCACAAACCACCTGTCCACCTCCATCTCCTTTCCTTGCTGATGCAAAAAACAGTGGAAAAAAGCTGGAAATTGAAAGGGGATGTAGAATGATTGCCTTTATTGGTGTTGGATACATCAAACTTATGTATCTCTGTGAACAAGGTCAGCACCATAATCTTCCTAATCCAATTTCTACTGCTACTTGATGGTGCTTTTCGCTGCTGCAAAGATGTCTGATATTGGAATTTGATTACGCCAGCTTCTTTACTTTGGTATTTTCATGACCTAGGTTTGTAGTATATACACCTTAACTGAACTTAACCAAATATTCTGATTAACTAGTGAAGGAGTTTACTGAAAATAAAGGTACATTTAGGGTTGAAATAAGTGCACCCTGGAAACAAAGGTTAAACGAAGCTGGCTTTGCACTACCCTAAATTCTTGTAAAAAATGAGACTTATTTTATCTATAATTTTGATGCAAAACCCTTGCCCTCCTTCTCGCCAAAAAAGATATAGTGTTCACGTATGCAGTATGCTGTTAAAATCTTGGACAGCTATTTTGCTTTCACTTGAGCCGGTTATAAAAAAGCTAAAAGTACACCAAGGAGTTTCAAACTTCCCTGTGCCTAAGGCGTGCCTCGGTGTGGTATGTTAAAGTGAGACGCATATAATAAGCAATATAAAAAAACTGTTGTGCGCCTTTAGTTGTGCCTTGGTACGCCTTAGTGGCCTTCAGATCGCCCATGTGCCTTAGCCGTGCGCCTCCATGGGCCTTAGCTGTGCGCCTCCATGAGCCTTAGTTGCTCCTCATCAAAATCGCCTCGCCTAGACCACAAAATGCGCATGACCCCTTGTGCCTCGCGCCTTATCTTCAAAAACTGATTTTGAGATACATGAGTTTCATGTTGTTGTGTTTCTCATAAATGAATGGTATTTGTTTTTTGCAACTCCTTGCAATTCTTGGTATGGTATTTAGTTATTTCATTTTGATTAGCATTGCTCAAACATATGCTAAAATAAATATGTTTATTTGTCGAACATGGATATATAACTATGTTGGAGCTTCAATTGAACATTTAATTCAAAAATAAGACATAGTATTCAAACATGATAACCTACTTCCTCCATCCTTTTTTAGTTAACACGTTTCTTTTATCAAGTTTGCCACAACTTTACTGACAAATATCTCTAATTTTCGACTTGTAAATATTAAAAGTTGATATTATGAATATGTACTGGAGACCGTTCTAACAAAGTCCCACATAGCTATATTTCATCATAACTATAAATCACAAAGTTAGTCAAATTAGAGTTTGGGAATAGTGTCAAATGTCAAAATGTGTCAATTACAAAAGAATGGAGGAAATATTAGGGGTTGTTTGGTTGGACCTTTTGCAATGGGTTGGAATGGAGTTAAAGTCCATTCTATTCATTTTATTGTTTGGTTAGTCTTTTTAGCTATGAAACCTCATACCAAGAGGGTTCTAATTCTACTTTTTCCTCCTGGAATCTCATGCCACCTCACCCCGTAAGATTCAAAGTCCATTCAATTAATGAGATTTAGAAACCATCGAGCTTATAAACCAAACAACTTCAGATTAATAGGGAATGTATAATCCGTGCCCCCTTAGTATAAGATTCCATACCAATTTAATCCAAATTAACGAACCAAATGACCCCTTAAATTGTGACCAAAGAAAATTCTAAAGATCCCACACAAGCTTCAATGTTAAGACTTTTATTGATCACACATTTTACTTCAGGCTTCTAATCTAACATCTCGTGTGATTCACATTGAAGTAAATACTTCAGATAAGGAAGGTGTGCAATGAAGTACTTCAAATTGAATTCCCCTTGTGTTTGCAAATTGGAGTATTATTTGTATTAGATATATTGAAGAAGCATGCTTATCATCTTTAAACTTTCTTTTTCAATTCAGAAACTCTGAACATATCCCTGTTATTTCATAAATAAGTGCTTCCCAATATGGTATCTATGGTATTTAGGTTCAAAACAGTGCTAAAGATACTGGTTGAGAAGAATGAGATTGGAGACCTTATAGCATATGAGAGGAAAAAAAAAGTTTCAGTTGATACATTTATTGATCCTAAACATAGGGACTTGTGTTTAGCGACTGAAGTTTTTAGATACTCGTAATACCGCCATTGAATGTCAATTGTATTTTTATATAAATATTTGATAAATCATCTGTGGTTGCCACGTGTAGCATCATTGCCTCTTAATATGTATGCTGACCAGCTATCATATCTTTATGGATGATTTGTTTCTCCTCCCCCACCTCCCCTCCCTTTTGTGTGCTAGAAAAGAATATGACATGCAATGTATTTTATGGCCGTGTTTAGATTTTTCATATTTCCGGGTTATCTTGGCAGATGTCTGAACAGTTCAACCAAGAGATATCATTAACTGGTAAAATACCCTCTGGCCTCTTCAATTCTATGTTTGACTTTTCGGGATGTTGGCAAAAGGATGCAGCCTACACAAAAACATTGGCTTTTGATGGGGTTTTCATTACCCTGTATACTGTTGCTTTAGAGAAAAGTCAGCTAGTATTGTGTGACCATGTAAAACAAGCTGTCCCCTCATCATGGGAGCCTGCTGCACTGGCTAGGTAAAGTCATGTTCATTTATTATGCTATCATCTCTAGTTTGATAGGTGCATCCTTTTCACCTCGAAATACTTCAATTACTTATTATATTCAATTACTTATTAGATTCAATTCAAATTTATTGTTAGCTTGATATTGAACTTGAGTTTTGTTCAGTGGATGGACATATATGACAATGCCCATGGTGAATTTAGTTTTTCTTCATAAAAATTCATTACTATCTACAGGGTTGATATTGGGGGTTACAGAATTTTTGTAAGATAAACTCATATTTTGGGACAGATTGCATGATCATGGACATTAGCATGGTACTTTCTTTGCAAAATTCAATTTAAACTTTATTTTCGTTATTATCATTTATTACCAATAACCATATGGCCTATACATGTAAATTTTGTTTTGAATTATATTAATTAGCCTTGATATGAAGTTGTATGATTATATTTGTGGGGATGTACCTATATAAAATATCAAACCTTTGATAGTTTAATATATGGGTTCTTCTAAGGTGTACCCTTGTATATTTTTCTAAAATTCTATTATCATTGTGACTGTAAAAGTGTCTCGGTGTTGTTATCTCTGTAGTAATAAATTTTGTTAGTGTATCTCATTTTAAGAATTAAATTTCACGTAATTATGCTAAACTCCTTGTTTAAAGTGTGAGAAATTCAGGTCTAACTTCTTATCTAAACTCATTTTCCCAACCTACATAAGAAACCTATCTAGTTTTATTGTTTTATTCCCAAAAGTACTATGGAAAATTGCAAGACATTTACAAAATGGAGTTTATTAACAGAGAGATATCCCTAATCATAAGGGTACCATAGAGGCTTTTAATAAATGTAGGGTACAACGATGATATATGATAAACACAAGGGTATGTTGTAGAAAACCCCTTATTTTCTTTATCAAAGGTAAAAAAATAAAACAGGACAAAAGTCTGTTTTGACCACTGTTGGCAAGTGCACTGTCCTTTTTGAGCATAATTTTGTCATTGTTATTCATACTAAGCAAGCTCATTTGGTGTAATGATTGTATGGCCATGAGTTTGGATTTTGGGAGGATGAAGCTTTGAGTTAATTGTTTAATCGAGAACACTTTTCTACTATATTTAGTGACTTATCACTGTAGACTTATCTTAAGAAAGGCATTTTGCTATGCTTTTTGATAAAAGGTTTTAGTGAGCTATGTAAGTTTTTGAATTAGAATAAAAACAACATATGCTTGCTGATCTTTTCTTTTAAATGATGAAAGTTAATATCAAAGTGAATTCTGCCCTCCACTTATTAACATATCAAAGTTAATACCAAGGCATTTTGAAAGTGGTTTTTATTCCATGATTTGATGTGAAAAAAAGGTATTGGAGGTTTATAATAAATGGTCACATTGGCCCCTGTTGAATTATTCAGAGGTTACCTTACCTTACTTATATGAATAAAAGAGATACGTTCAACCCTTCATTTCTGATTCATTAGAAAGCCAAAAGGTTTGAAACAGTGTCCCAAACAGATCTTTCTCTAGAGTTGTTATTCCTTTTTCTACTTGATAATGTCTTGTTTAAAGATATTAGTTTACATATAGTGGCTACATTAAGTTTTTTTTCCTCCATGGCATGCTTTCTTCAAGGCCTTATCTTATGAAGGCCACCTTTCAGTTGGTAACATCTATTTTTGGGTTGGAGTCCTTGGAGGGCTTATTTGATTTTAATTAGAATTTGAGTTGAAGGATTTCATTAAATTGTGCTAGATTTTTTATAAAATCATTCCTTGGTATAAGTCAGATATTTTTCATGATGTGTTCTGCTACTCCATGATATCAGCCTTTGACTTGTGTTTCTGAACTACTTAAGGTTCATTGAAATGTTTGGGACACACATTATTGTTGGAGTAAAGATGGGAGGAAAGGATGTTGTATGCGTAAAGCAACAGCATTCATCACACCTTCAACCTGCTGAAGTGCAAAAAAAGTTAAAGGAGATAGCTGACAAAAGGTTTTTAGATGCAAATGGGCAGTACGACATGAATTCTGGTCATATTTTTCAGGATGGAAAGGTTTTCTTCTCTATCATAAAATGTTTTAGTGTTTGGTTGCATTTTGATGTCTTTCTTGCATTATTTGAGCTAAGTGTTATTTTGGTTGGAAAAAAGTTATGTAACTGATTGATACTATCTCTGCAGTTTGATGTTCGGGAACAACGTCTGAGATTTGCTGATATGAGTCCTTCTTGTTCATATTCACACAAGGAGGTATTTGTGTAGTGCAATGTGCCTTGGTATTATGGTCTAAGTTTCTTTGATGGTGGAAAATCTTAAAATATCCAGTATGTCTTTTCAACCTTTTTCATTTGTTCCAGGACATTACTACCATCTGTAAGAGGAGAGGAGGAAATGATAACAGGAATATTCCTCATCATGAGTGGTTACAAACTGTACAATCTGAGCCAGATGTAATTTCCATGTCCTTTATCCCGATCACATCTCTATTGAATGGTGTCCCTGGGAGTGGGTTCTTAAGCCATGCAATAAATCTTTACTTACGCTGTAAGTTCATGTAGCATTTGATCTTATCACTTTAATGCTGTTGGTTGATTTGTAAGAAATAGATTTATGTGAAGTAATATGATAATCATTTTCCAACCCAATCATTGCTGTGTCGAGGCTAAGTCAAGGGGAAACATTGCCCTAATCTTAGCAGATCAAGGTAGGCTACCCTTGCTTTCCATTACCTGGGAAGTTATTTAGCTGGATTTTTAACTTTGTTGGTGTTACCTAGCTGTTTGTTGAACTCCCCCTCCCTAATTAATATATGGCAGGAGTGCTTGCTCTCAGAAAAGGTTGCCTTGTTATTTGCTTGACTCAAAAAATTCTGCGTGTATGCTCTCTACGAGATACATTGTTTATAAAGGTCAATATAGAAAAAAACTGACATCAACTCTCCAATAATTTTTGTTGTTTTAATATTATTATGACTTTTGAAGGAGTAATTTATAAAGGAAGCGACTGTTTAAAAGGATATAAATGGTATCTAAGCTTGGGAGATTTGCTTAGTTTTTTCATTTTTTTTTATTTTTTTATTTTTTTAAATTGTAGATTTTGGGTGCATGAAATGATAAATTCCTAGTAATTTCGATTATATCTAGGGGGTGGGGCACATCTAGCCTATTGCAATGTTGAAATATGCAGCAAAGATTTTCATTTATTCCGGAACTGAAAAATGACTTTTAAGTTTATTTATGTGCTCGGTGAAGATCATGGTTTGCTTAATCCAAGTTAAATTATACCATTAGAAACCTATCTAACCTTGTGTTGGTTACCTATGAGCAGACCAAGGCTTATTATATCAGTTGCTCATGAAGCTGTTTAAAGTCTTGTTTTTTTATTTGTTTGGTATATTTGCAGACAAACCACCGCTTGAAGAGCTTCATCAGTTTCTGGAATTTCAACTACCAAGAACATGGGCACCTGTGTTCAGTGAGCTTCCCTTGGGCCCTCAACGCCGGCAACAAAACTATGCCTCTTTACAGTTCAGTTTCATGGGCCCAAAGCTTTATGTGAATACCACACCGGTACTTTTTCTTGACCGTTTTTAGTCTTCATCTTTATGTGATTTGAAAGCAGACATTCTTTGCTTTATAGGTGTTTAACCATCAGGGTTATCGTTTTATTTTGCATTTACAAACCCGGTGGGGTAGCTAAAATTTACTTATCAACAAACAAGTTTTGAAACAGGATCTTAAATTAAATTGTGGATCACTGGAGGTTCACCATCAATTCAAATAGGCGCCGAACAAATATTTCATGTTAAGAAGATAGGATACTAAGCATTTAATGTTATACTCCACCCGTCCTTTTTGTTTGCATTATTTGCTTTTTCACAGTCTCCAAAAAACAAGTTTGACCTCTGTTAACTTTAATTGTGTATTAGTAAAAGGAAAAATTGGTATTATTAATCCCAACTTTCGATTAAACCTGAATACCAACTTTAGGGGGTATTGACTTTTATCGGGCCTAACCGGTTATCAAACCTGTTATAGCAAGTTAATTGCCACGTGTCTAACACCCTATTGTTAAAAAAAAAAAAAAAAAAAAAAAAAAATTAACTACCCCTACACCGCCGACAACCTTCCCCTCCTTAGCCCCACTGCCAGCAGCTACACCCACGAACCACCCCCACTTCCACTGTCGAAATTTTTCCCCTCCCTAGCCATAATTCCCGACAGCGACACCTTGCCCACCCACGAACCCCACTGCCCAACCACAACCACAAACCTCCACCTAAAATCCCTCCCAAAACCCATACCCGTCGAAGATGGCTAGCTTTCTTGCTTGCTTTCCACTACCTGTTTGAAGTTTCGCACAACCCACAAATCTCCCCCGCACGGAAAGGGTAGGTTTGGGTTGGGCGGGCGACAAAAGCAGGGGTGAGGCTGGGGCTGGGGCTGGTTCGCGAGCAGGGGTTGGGGGTGGATGGGAGTTCGTGGGATGGGGTTCGCGGGCAGGGGTTTAGGTTGGTGTGGGGTGGGGTGGGGTTGCTGGATAGGGTAGGGTCGCCCACCGGGTAGTGGTGGGGGGCGGATGCGGGCTGGTTGTTTTCCGGTAGGGGGGCTGGCTGGGAAGGAGAGGGGTGGTTTGGTTTTTTTTTTTAGTTTTATTTTTTTGGCTATTTAATGTGTGACATGTGGCAATTTATAAACTATTAAATAAGAGAAAACTCCCATTAATCTCACAAATAAACAAAATAAGTTTATTCTCAACTAACAAAAGGGAAAAGCTGAATTTTAAATTATAAAATGTTGTACTGATGGAAAAAGTGAAGGAATGTGTTAGAAGGTTGGTAAGAAGGTGAAGATGGTGGTCGGTTTATTTTCGGTTGTGGGTTGAAGGAGGAAGGAGATGGTGATTGTGGTCGGCTTCAGTAGTACTCCGTTCACATATGGGAAAAAACAGAACTTGGGTTGGGTTTAAAGACTGTCAATTCTCTTGGTAAACGGATGTTACATAACTTTTATACCTTTACAGAAATACCCCAACTAAAAGCACGTAGAGTGACCAAAAAGCCCCTCGGTAAACAAAATTTGTTAATCGAGGGTATAAACATGAATTCGCTAATTAGAAAAAATCACCTTTTCTTCCGGTCATTGGTCATTTGTTGAAAGAAAACACCCCCAAAAGTTGGGATTACTCAAGAATAATCGATAGTTAGTATTAATTAAAGTAAATGGCCCAAAGTTGGGATTAATAAAACCAAATTTTCCTTGGTAAAATTATAATAAGTTGATTTTATGTAATCTTATATTCAAATGAATCTGTATTTGGTTATCGATTATTAAAACCCAGCTTTTCGCACTCATATATAAGCATTCTATAATACTCTCTCTGTTTCTGTCTTGTATACTTCATATTTGTTTCGAATCTTGCAACTATTCACATTTTAAGGGAATCTTCAAATTATTTCCAACAAATAAGACAAAACATAATTGTGTGGAGTCTTGTATGATTTATATCAATGAGTGCTTTACAAAAAAATATCAAATTTTAATTTAGTATTATGTAATAAAGATATTAATGTTTAAAGATGTGCATTGACTAACATGCTGTCAAGAACAGGACTGTTTAATTGTAGTTTTCAGTAAGGCGATTTTAAATTTACTCCCTTGGAAGCAGGTGTTTCTTAATTTGTCTTGCCTCTGAATTTGGTTGCAGGTTGATGTAGGTAAGAGGCCTGTGACTGGCCTACGACTTTATCTTGAAGGTAGGAAAAGCAATCGTGTGGCCATCCACCTGCAGCATTTGTCATCTCTTCCTAAGATTTTTCAATTGAAGGATGATTCTACCGGAAATTTTTTGCAAGAACAATATGACCGGAGATTTTATGAGAAAGTTGGATGGAAAAATTTTTCTCATGTATGCACAGCACCGGTTGAGTCCGATGAAGATCTTCCAATTGTAACTGGAGCCCAGCTGCAAGTTGGTGATTATGGTTTCAAAAAGGTACTCTTTCTTAGACTCCGTTTCTCCACTGTTCTGGGAGCCACACCGGTAAAAAACTCAGAGTGGGATGGATCACCAGGTTTGGGCCGCAAGTCAGGGCTCATATCAACCTTAATTAGCCAACACTTCACGACTGTGGCAAAACCGCTGCCACAGCCAGCTGATGTGAATATCAATTCTGCTGTTTATCCTGGTGGTCCTCCTGTTCCAGTTCAAGCACCCAAGCTTCTGAGATTTGTTGACACCACAGAGATGACAAGAGGTCCACAAGACACTCCAGGCTATTGGGTTGTTTCTGGTGCAAAACTTGTCGTTGAAAAGGGTAAAATCTCACTTCGCGTGAAATACTCTTTACTTACTCCTATTTTACCTGACGAGGATTAGTCGGAATAACTGCATAGTAGTCTCCTTACTGGAAATTGGGTGAAAATCTCTGGGTTAATCATTTGAAGGAAAATTTGTTGTGGAGTAAATGAGGTGGAGTTTTCACGATTGCTTGTGTAATTTTTTTTGGATGCAAATCACCGTGCAACAGAATGTGAAAGGTGGTGGGCATTATCGGCAATTTTTATGGTGATTGATCCGTGAACTTTTGGTTATATCCTTTTCACTTCACCCAACCAAAAAAAAAAATTAAATAAAAAATTGTAATTGTAATGTAATTTGTTAATCTTCATTTATAAAAAGGATAAAAGAGGCCGGGTATTTGCAATTGAAGTGCTTGTGTGTATGCTTGACTCTGTTAACTATCTTAACTAAGGCTGTCTTTGGTCCAAACTAAAATCAGACTGGAAATTGATAATTTAAGACTTAGAGATCAGACTGAACATTGGACCTGAATCTTGTTGAATTGTGTGAACCCTTATAAAAACCTATATTGAACTTATAGGTTATTCTCTCCGTCTAGAATAATCGACATGTTTGAGTGTTTGACCTCTTTTCACTTTTTATATTCTAACTTTTACTCTGAGGTTATTAGTAACGTATTTAAAATAAATTTTATTATGAAATAAATTTTACTTTTACTCTAAATTTGTTAGTAGCGATGATGTGGTGAGTTTGGATGGAAAAGACTTGACCACGAGTGAATGTTTTAAATATCTTTGGTCGATCATCTAGAATAATGGTGACATCTATCAAGACGTGGCCCACAGGGTTGGGGTGGCTTAAATGGAGAGCGGCCACGAGAGTGTTATGTGATCGAAACATTTACTTACAGTTGGAGGGAAAATTCTACAGAACTGTCATAAGACCAGTGTTGCTCTATGGTACTGAATGTTGGGCTTCTAAACAAGGAGCACATTAAAAAGATGGAGGTTACGGAATTGGGGCATGTTAAGGTGGATGTGCGGGAACACTCTGAAGGATAGAATCAGAAATGAGGTTAATGCAAGAAAGTAGGCGTGGCAGGCATTGCAGTTAAACTAAGGGAAAATCGTCTGCATTGGTTTGGGCATGTGAGACGGAGACTCGAGGGTGCACCAGTTTGAAGAGTGGAAGAGTGGGACCATGAAAGGGTTAAACGAGGGAGAGGAACCGAAAATGACTTGTTTGGAAGGAGTTAGGAAGGATATGAAGTATATGGATTTGCATGAGTATGAGGCATTAGGTCGTAAGGGATGGAAGAAGAAGATTTTTTTCGATGACTACACGGAATAATCACTTTTGGTTCATTAGCCGACCCCAATTACGGGATTAAGGCTTTGATTGATTGATTGTTAGATATATATAAAGAAAGTTAAACTAGTACAGTGGCATATGTGTCTAGTTTTAATGTGTTAATTATTCTAGGAATTTTTTTTTTCAATTTTTTGTAAAGGTAAGGAGGACTTTGACCATATCTCAATTCTCATGGTTTTTTGGTTCAGTATTTGTGGGCCATACACTTGGGAGTCGAGGGGAGGGTAAGGGCCCCCAAATACACTCACTTGGTAAAAACATTACTACCTCCGGTTCAATTAAACTAAACAACATGCAAACCTCCATTAATCAATTTAATCTCAGCAATCAATTAACCTAAATCCACAAATTAATCTCAATAATATAATCAATCAAGTATGCTTTACCCAAACCCTAGCAAGAGGATCTACTCACTAATCATCATCATTCAACCAAACAAGTAATTACAAAGCATTAACCAAAATTGAAGAATAACTACACTAATCAAAGCATTAAGCAACAAAACTAAATCAACATGAAATTAAAGAAAGGAAATAAGAGGAGAGAGAGTGTGTGAGAAATGCTCATTGATTGATTATGAATCGGAGATTTTCAATACAATTGTCATCGTTGAATCTTCAAAATCCAAATTCTCTCTTTGATTTTCCTCACTTTCTCTTTCTAAAACTACTCATTATCTAACCCTAGATCTAGAGAAAGAAACTCTCAACTAAGCTAATTATGTGGCAAAATATCAGCTAAAACTTATTACAAAATCGAGCTTTAAAGTATTTATAAGAAGTGGGAAAAACGAGCTCGAAACAACCCGAGATGCAGGGCTGCGCACCCCCGCACGCCTGGGTTGCTCGAAGCTCGGCAGCTACCGTCGTGCGCTTGCATCATGACCCTTGTGCGCGCCCACCGAGAGGATATCTTCCCCTCGAGTTATGAACATGCATGAGAGCGTAACATCTTCATGATAGTCACCAAGTATGGTAGTCCCTAAATGCCATTTTTGTGGATTCAACACCACTCGACTTGAGAGCGCAGATTAAAAATGCAAAAGCTAGAACTTGGAGCTTGCATTTTTTGTTGATTCTTGAGTTCTCCGAAGGTTACGAGATTGTGCCACGAGACTCGTTTGCCTCGAAAAACACCAAGATAATATCTAGAGAATCAATCATAGCCTACAGACAATGAGAAAAGAACAAGTAAAAGAGAAAAGACGAAAATAACCCAAAGCACGAAAACACAAAATAACCAATAATGAAGAAACTAACGAACAAATGAATAAAACTAAGCAATTATTAAGAAAGAAAGCTATAAAAAGAAGGGGAAAATAACCGAAAACACTACCATATGTGTGCCTTAAATAATACTCATCACAATCTTTCCTGTGATAGGGAGACTTTTGGATTCTAATGATCCTTCCCTATAATAGGGGATTATTAAGGCCGTATACCTTACCTTATTAAAAAAATTTAAAAAGTAGCACACTTGTTTAAGGACTAGTGAGAGTTCGAAGGAGTTGTTGTAATTTGTGTAGGGTTTTGTAGTGACCCTCACTACGGCGAAGGAAACCCCCCAAGACTCGCCCCCAGAATTAATGCAACTAATACAAGCAAAACATAATTAAAACATAATTAAGAGTAAGGATAAGAAATATACCCTCGATGTGTGCTTCGCTCTTACAACGAGCTCTTACTTCAACCTCGATAATGCGAGGCCTCCAACGGGATCGTACCCTCGAACCCGAACCGATCGTCCTAAGCCTCGAAGGTTAGTCAAGGCCCGAACAAAATATAAACTTGGAGTTTTACGACTTTCAAGGTATACTCAACAATGGAGTTTCCTTTAATCTTCCACTCAAGTGTGTTCTTTCCAAAATACCCTAGCCTTCGTATTTATAGGGAAAATAACCCTTGATTTTAATTCCCCAACCAATGTGGGAGAATGAGTAAAAATGATAATTAATTTAATTCTAAATTAAATAAATAATCAAATCAATCACAACACAACAAGTGTCAAGGGGAGAGAGAGAGTTAAGTGAGGACCAAGAGTAGGTGGGGGGACCATTGCCTTGCTCCCCAAGGCTTTGCCCAAGGGTTGGTCCCCACCCCTCACAAAACCGCCTCCAAGCATTAGGTGAGCTGGCTGCTTGCTTTGCTGGCCAGCTAGCATAGCCAGCCTAGCATGCACAGCGTGCATCTGCCAGCACGCATCAGCCAGCCCTCCCAGCACTTGCGTGCTGCTAGCGAGCCACGTATTGTGCTGGGCGCTGGGCGCTGCTTGGCGAGATGTTGTGCGAGGCTGTCAACACTGGGCATAGGCACATGCACGCACACACAGGCTCAGGAACCCGCATACGCATGCTTGGCTGCCCGGCTGCTGAGCGTAGGCTAGCATTGTGCTGGCGCTTAGGCCACGCACATGCGCATTGCGGAGCATAGCGTGCTGCTTGGTGCTGCCATGCGAAGGCAAGCACGCAAGCTAGCACGTATGCTGCTGCGATGCAAGGCATGCACGCATGCCAGCACACGGTGCTAGCGATGGTGCTGCCATGCTAGGCATGCATGCATGCTAGCGATGGTGCGCCTAGCACACCTAGTGTGTCTAGGCTTGCGCCTAGCCATGCTTGGTGCATGCTAGCTCGAGCTAGCCTAGCATCCACATGACTAGACCAATGTGGTGCTACGGCTATGCTCGTACTTGTTGCTTGTGATTTTGCGACGCTCAGCCTTAACGCCTTAGGCTCGATATCCGACGTCTGTGTTCGTAAAACTCCGACGACTTATTAAATCCTTCGGATTAATTCGTCGTCTCAGATCGGTTGTTCGATTGGGTTCGACCCGAAGGGTTCAGTTAAGATTAAGCTGTAATATTAATTATACCTTAATATTACTGATCGGAAGCGGCCTCCACCTAGGCATTCCGATCACTTGACCTTACTGAAAAATTAGCTCTGTAATAATTCTGAACCCTCTATCAGAATAATACACTTGTTAGAAGGACACCATTCCTTTCAATCTCCCACTTGTCCTTCCGGACAAGTGTGCATACAGTGTATAGCCCATTTCCTATGTCGCTTAATGTCTCTTCGTGAACTATAAGGTAAGATTCATCGTCATCCTTAGTACGTTCAGATTTCTAAAATCCATCTGAGCACGGCCATGCATTTTCACAGTTTCGCTCTTCGAGCGGCCTTGTAAACAACAAAGACATTTTCCCTATTGCTAATAGGGGGGATATTCCCAGTCTTGCATTGTAAGTTTCTCTTACTAAGAGGACCTAATCTCCCGAGTGTTCCCGATATGATCCCTAGTTACGGCAGACGTTAGGCAACATCAAAGAGACTAGTAGTCAAACAAGAAAACTTCACAATACTCATGGTCGAGGAAACGAGTTCCGATAGCTATAATGAGAAATGTACTTATGACAATTTTGAATCTCTTAAATTAAAGTACTCTCATAGGTGTATCAAGTGCAGTTCCAAACTGGCACCTGTGCAAATGATTTATAACCATCATGTCCTTGCAGCACAAGAAACGGTGCTGTAAATCATACTACACACTAATCTCTGGTGGTCATCAATCGTCCATCATTTAGATGACCTTGATTAGGGATAATTTTCGATTTAAATATTCAATGTTCACTTAACAAGTGTTTCTTTATCCAAGACATGGTCTTGATACCCTGTTTTGAATATTTCCATAAATCGAATGGATTCATTATTTAATTCTAAACCACAATTAAATAGTAATGGAGTGAATGGTAATTTTTGCCTAAAAATTAATTACTCCATAAATGAATGGTTTCAATACAGTGTCTTACATTAAAACCTCTAGTTTAATTAAAACACATGTACAGGGAATTTCAAAGCCAGTCTCCGACGTGCTTGATTCCCATTGCCTCAATGTGCTTGTTGTGTTTCACTTGAGGCAGAGGTTTAATCAAAGGATCAGCCACATTATCATCCGTGCCGATCTTGCAAATTCTGATTTCACCTTCGGATTTCCATTCCCTTATCATGTGAAATCGTCTTAGGACATGTTTGATTCTGGTGCTCTCTTGGCTCTCTAGCTTGAGCGATAGCTCCATTGTTATCACAGTAGAGATCTATCGGACCCTTGATGGAGGGTACAACACCAAGTTTGCTAATGAACTTGCGAATCCAAACAGCCTCCTTAGCGGCTTCTGAAGCAGCCAAGTATTCGGCTTCAGTTGTAGAATCTGCAGTGGTG